GTGGGAGGTGGGATCAGGTGGAGGAGTAAGCATTCCCTGTTGATCGCTCACAACCGCCGTGCGCTCTTTGTGATTGGGTTAACGGAAAATCCGTTTGAAAGTATGAAAAAAATGACTGAACAATTTGTATAAAGGACGTAAGTCAATATATTTGTCAGGTGCCTGTCTCGTTTTAGAAATTTTTTGCTCAATTTACAGTTGTATCTATAATTATAAGCAAAATTATAAAATTTAGAATTCAGTCTTAAAAGGAAAAACATTCTAGCAATTTAATTGCTAATCGCTTAGATAAATATCAAGTAGGGATGCGACGTTTTTTCGAGAATAGCTGTCAGCAAAGCTAAAAGAATTTTGAGATTTTGTAAAGTGTAAGTTACCTTTTATAGCTTTTTACTTGTAAGAAGTCGCCCTCGTGGCGCAGTGCTTAGAACGTTTGCTTTAGAGTCCCTGCGTAAGAAGCTGATTCTTACGTTGTGAGTTTCGAATCCCACTGCGGGACGTGGACACCGGTCCTTCGGATGAGACCGTATAAACCGAGGTCCCGTGTCGCAGTAAGTGCTGGCACGAAAAAGATCCCTCACTGCTCAGAGGCCGTGAGTGCCGAGTATAGGTATAAATGCAGGCCCGTAGGAAGCAATTTCAGTTTGGGGGGGGGGGGGGCACAGACATTCATTTTCAGTTGAGGGGGCACTATCAATTACCAAAAATTCCTTGACAAGCAAAAAAAAAAAAAAAAAAAAAAAAAAAAAAAGAGGCATCAGACGTTTTTATTGACGGGGGCACAAGCATATAGCAGCTAAGTTTTCTATAGTAATCTATATATCGGCAAAATTAATGGGGGCACGCCCCCCCCCCCATGCCCCCCGGTTCCTACGGCCATGAAATGTGAAACCCTCCACTTGCACGTGGTGGCCTTTCAATATGAGTGAAAAATTCTCGAAGGGAGTTAAACAAACAAAGAACATGTAACTACATGTACTTTCAGAAATATGGAATAAAAGATTTCGGTCATTGTCATTGCATTTGAGTATTTATGAATGTACTTGCAAGAGTGGATTTTTTTAAATACGTCCCAATTGTACAACAATTGCTGCTCGTTTTCTTCGATGCATTAGGGTTATCAAACTCTTGATCTGAGCGAAATAAATATTCTTAGGCATTTTTAAGGGCCAGTTTTTCAGATACTTAGGTCGAATTTTCTCTAACCTGGTGTAGTGTAGTATCCCTTTGCTTCACGTCTGTACTGTCATTCATGCTTATGATCGCATGCGCCTGATGAGTCGTTATGTAGTGCATATTTGCACCTGCAACTCTCTTTTACCTTTATTTTGAGAATTTTCAACAAGAACAATGAAAATGCTTGCTTTCAGTCATTTTGAGGAAATATTGGCATCACATCGGGAAAAGAAAGAAGGATTTTTTTCAGAATATTAGTGCAATACTTATGATTAACAGCTACAAACCCTTGAAAACAGAAATTATTATGAAACAAGAATATCAGCTGTCTCGTTTAAAGTCATCATTTCGTAAGTTCTATGGTCGATACAATGACCTTGTCAGCAAATACAATTTATCATTGAGTCAAATGCTGACTAACGTTTTTCACACAATTATTAGGCCATTATTTACACACTGAATTGTCGACGGATTTTTCCGTTATTTCCCGATCATGACAAGGAGCACACGGCGGGTGTGACCGGTCAGCAGGGGATGCTCACTCCTCCATGGCACCTGATCCCACCTCTGATGTTTGGAGGTCCGTGTTTGCTCTGCTCCTATTTTGTATTGATTAATAGACTTTTGAGCTTGAATACTGTTCGTTATCTCCATATATTTCATTATTAAATATGCAATTTTTGATTTCTGTTAAAAGGGCTCAAAATCAACTTCCGGTAATGGAATGAAAATCATTCAACCGTTAAATTACTGATTTGGCAAATTTGAAGATGTCCTAACTTTTTAAGTACAAAGTTATAACCTGTATATAATTTCCCCCCTAAAATAAGGATGTTGCGTTTCTTTTGCGTTTCAGTATACAATCATGTGCCCATATAATTGGTGTTGGAGTTGACATTTTTAGATCACCTGAACTGGAAATTCAAGCAAACTTTTTTGATCACATTTTGTCTGACCGTCCCTCTGTCTGTAAACTTTTCACAATTTCATCTTCTTCTCAAGAACTACATATACTGGGTCAATTTCAACCAAACTTCCACAAAACATCCGTGGATAAAGGATATTCAAGTTTGTTCAAATGAAGGGCCATGCCCTCTTTCAAGGGAGGTAGACAAGAATTAGTGAAAATTTAGTGACATCTTTTAAAAATCGTCTCAAGAACCACTGTGTCAGAAAAGTTGAAACTTATGTGAAAGCTTCATTAATTATGAAGTGTAGATTCAGTTTAATTCAGATCATGTCCATCGGGGGAAGGGTGTGGCTACAAAAGGTGATCAAAGTTTTTCATAGAATCGAATATTTAAAAAACATTCTTTCAATTTTTTTTTCAAGAACTACTGGGTCAGAAGAGATGATACATATGTGTAAGCTTCATTACACTGCGTATGTTCAATTTTGATGTGCTAGCTGGCACGAAAAGGATCCCTAACTGCTCAGTGACCCTGAGTTCCCAATATAGGTCTTAATTTGCAGCCCTCCACCGTCTAGTGGTGACTTCTACATACGAATGAAAAATTCTCTCGAGATGGACAATATTACAACAAACAAGCAAACAAAAACAAAATCAATTTTGTTCAAGTCGTGACCCCGGGGTAGGGTGGGGCCACAATGGGTTATCAAAGTTTTTCATAAGAATATATACAGAAAATCTTTAAAAGTGAAGAATGTAACAGTCAGATGAAGCACCGGCGCAACCCCCCCCCCCCCCCCGCCCGGTGGTTTGATTTTTATCTTCTTTTTTTTTTTGCCCCCCGTATCGAAGATTCGAGGGTATATAGTTTTGGCCCTGTCAGTACGTCTGTCTGTTTATCCGCAAAAACTTTAACCTTGCCCATAACTTTTGATTGGTTGGAGCTATGGCTTTCATATTTCACATGTGTATACCTTGTGACAGGACCTTTCTTTGGGTACCACCATATTTGACCTTTTGACCTTGGAGTTTCACCCAGTTTTGCAAAATTTTACCAATCTTTAACCTTGGCATAACTTTTGAACGGTTGGTGCTAGGGCTTTCATACTTCACATGTGTATTCCTTGTGACAAGACCTTCCTTTGAATACCAACAACTTTGACCTATTAACCTTGAGCTTGGATGTGACCTACTTTTGAAAAACTTTAACCTTGGCCATAACTTTTGAACAGTAGATGCTAGGGCTTTCATACTTCACATGTGTAATCCTTGTAACAAGACCTTCCTTTGGATACCAACAACTTTGACCCTTTGACCTTGACCTTGGAGTTTGACCTACTTTTGAAAAACTTTAACCTTGGCCATAACTTTTGAACAGTTGGTGCTAGGGCTTTCATACTTCACATATGTAATCCTTGTGACAAGACCTTCCCTTGGATACCAACAATTGTAATCCATTGACCTTGACCTTGGAGTTTGACCTTCTTTTGAAAAACTTAAACCTTAGTTATAACTTTTGAATTATTGGTGCTTCAGTTTTCAATTTTACCTGTATAGTCTTGTGAGAAGGCCTTTCCTTAGGCACCATTAATTTTGACTATTTGACCTTGACTTTGATGTTTGACTTACTTTTGAAAAACTTTGACCTTTTCTATATCTATTCAATGGTACATGTAACTGCTAGGGCTTTCATATTTCACACGTATATTTTTCGAGACAAGACCTTATTTTGGGTACCAACATATTTGATTTGCATTTGAGAAAGTTTAACCTTTGCTTTAAGTTGCCATACAGGGGCATCAGTGTTTCACAAACACATGTTGTTGTTTTTTTCCCTTTGGTAAATTCTGTTTGTTTAACTTGTATATATTCTCAATTAAATCCACAGGTAAAATTTCATAATTAAATTATTTACTTAACATATATAGTAACACATCTTCACATACAAATTACTTTTTTTTTTTTTTTTTTTTTTTTTTTTTTTTTTTTTTTGCTTGTCAAAAAAATTCTGAACCGCACCTCTCCCACCCCCACCCACCCCCTCTCCGTTCTGAAATTTCTGGATCCACCACTGAGAAACAGCAGTAGGCCCATGATCAGTGATGCTTATATGGAAGCATCCTCAGGTAGCGCAGATCCAAGTATCTTCAAATAAAAACCGCGCCTAGGTTGGGGCCACAATGGGCAATCAAAGTTCTTACACAGGAATATATGATAAAATTCTTAAAAAATTATCTCAAAAGCAATGAAGGTAGGTACAAATTGTTGCCGGCGACAATATGAACAGAACGACAAAATGTATCGTCACAATCAGGCTGCATAAAATGGCATACGAGACACGTCGTTGTGATTCACACACCAATTACATTCACAAAACTACCAAAAAACAACAAAGAAATCATATTGTCGCCGACAAGTTTTGGGTATTAATATAAATGTCTTCTCTATATACTCCTGTTATTAGCATCGCCATTACATTTTTTCTCATAATTTTATTTTTAAAAATTTAAAATCATTAAATTTTGATATATTAACATTTTTTTACGCTTCTGACGTTACGTAAAAAACGTCAAATATTATTAGCATCGCGATGTTATTTGCATCGCGATGCTAATAATTTTTGACGTTATTTGCTTCAAATATCATTGATCACAGGAACTTAATTAAAGTATAAATTATACTTATATTTTTTTTATTTTTTTTTTAATTTCTTCGGCTGATATTGGAGTCTCGGGTTGATATGGGATGTGATACAGATTTTGCAATGTATTATTCTCTATCGAACTAGTCTGTAACTGTCCATTTCTTTTAACAACATTTGACTATCTGATTGAAAATAGCTATGAAAAAAAAATATTTATTTAGTATCTAATTTAGTTTCCTTATCACTTATAATAATGAATGAGAACAACAATTTTTACTTTGAAATAAAAATGATTTAATAATCTTAATGATCAACAAGATATAATTAACTTTTTCTGTACAACACAAAATGACAAGGAAAGCATTTTTCTACAGTTTCCCAGAAAGAGAAAGCTAATTGCACTAAGCCCCCTCTACTACTCAACACACAATAAAACTTCTGAGTATTTGCAAAGTCTGATCCATTTTCAACTGTTTTAGAACACACACAAAAAAAGATGAAAAAAGGAACTTTGGAAAAATAAAGAATTTTCCCAAATTAAAATTTCAATATTCAAGAGTAAAGACTGTAACCATATGGTACGTCATGTTACCTCTCTAAAACAATATAATGATTGGTATGAAAAGAGATTATTGGAGAGGTTTGAGACAAAAAATAATTCAGCTAAAGGTTTAAAATAAGATGATGAAAGCATAAAGAATAACAAATGAAATCATTTGGCACAAAACAGTTCTAATCCTAATGTGAAAAAGACAAAACACAAAATGAGGTCATTTCCATTCAAAAACACATTAGTGTTAGACAAAAAGAAAACACATATTCATACATTTAAACATTATCATTTATGAGTTTGATTGATACAACAATCTAAAAGTATCCATTTGTGGGGGGGTTTTATCAGTGTACAAAGCAAAGCTGTGCACATCGTTTTGCTGACATGCATTTTTCTTTAGAACAATTGGGGAATAGCTTCTATCTTTTTTATGTGTCCTCACTGAATGATTATCTGCTAGCCAAAATGGCACTTTTTCTGCACTAATTTATTTTTTTACAGAGGATGAAGATAAAGAAGTTATGTGTATCACAAAGTTCAATGAAAGTTAAAAAAGGAAACACTGCAACAATTTTATTTTAGAGTTACCACTCTTTCCTTAAAGGGCGTTGATCAATCAATTTGAATATTTACCCTCAAAATGTTTCTCTTTTATAAACATAAAGAAAAATTGCCAATCATACATGGAATCTATTAGGATTTTGCATTTCAAAAATACAATATAGTTAATATAACCTCTGTCTTATACCTTCTTTCATCTGTTTTATCAAACTTACAATTAAAAAACAAGTTTTAAAAAACACAGAACTTAACTCAAACTAACTCCACAATCAACAAAACACTCATTGATTGATTGTTCTCTACACATGTTCAAAACAGTTTCAAAACACAACCACTGTCAGTTCATAGCATGTACTCTTTGACAACTAAAAAAAATAGGTACCTGACCAATTAGACATTGTTTCTAAACCTAGAGCTTCATTTCAGAGTCAGCAACTTTAGAAAAACAACACATACTGATATGATTTTCTTGGTTTGTTGCAAAATAACTGTAACAACATCTAGCACAACCTTGTGGTTCATTATTTACCCATGATGCAGTATATATATTTATATATGTCCCAATGTGCATTTGGCAAGAATGAAATGTTCGTTTAATAAAGAAAATGGATATCATATGAATAAATGAAATTGTGCAAAATTGTATGAAAAGACTGCATGGATATATTTTGGGTGAAGTGGGGAAACATGATGACTATGAAGGAAATAATTAAGTGAAAATGGCAAATGTTACATGATTCACTTTCTTTAGTACAATGAATTTGAAATCAAAATAACAGGATAACCTTATGTTTAAGAAGAAATGCATGAAAAAACATCAGATTATAAGTTTTTTCCCAAAACTAATAAATTGCCAATTTATTTAAAATGGGGGAAATGTGTACTTTTTTGTTAATACATGTACAAGTGAAGAAGAATTTACAAACATTATGGTACTTTGATGCATAATGAAGAAACCAATATTACATATAGCCATTATTTGCAAGATGAAGAAGATAAAAATTTAGTAGTTCATGGGAAAAACCCATTTCAAGGTCACATGACTTAAGCAATATCAGTCCTTTCTTTTATATTAGAAAATTAAACATTCATACTTGTTGCCATGCACCCAACTTTAATTTGTTAATTAATATAGATTATAATGACCATGGAAAGGGTGGTACTAATGAACATTATCATTTTTGGGATTTTGAGACATGAAGCTAGAATGTCTATGTGCTAAATTATATACTCATTGCCACTGTCATTAATTCTTGCGAGGTTTAACTTAGTTACATTATTTAGAGATGATGATTATTTTTGTGTCAATCAACTGATCAGAGTATTTCTGATAATGATGAATGATGATGATTTTCTAGTAGAGAATAAGTAAATGTAAGCTAAAACTACACAAACTACAAAATTTCACAACCTTTTGAATATGAGGATTCTGATTGGTTGAAATTCCCATTCATATTTAAAAATTACGTGATAGCAAGCACACAGAGTTTTCAAACAATCATTTCCATTTACCCAACAGAAAATTCATCATGGCTGTTTTACATACAGGTACATGTATGTACAAAAATGTACAAAAAATCAAGATGATAATAGCTCTAAGTACATTTAGTAAGAGAAAAAAAATTAAAAAAACATTTTGAATGGTCTAGGTATGTAAATATGTACAAAAAAAGATTATTTTCAAAATGGCTGCATGTATTTCTATATAGTGTTTAGTATATTAACTTAAAAAAGTATTAATTAGCAAACTCTTTCATTGGGAAAGAGTTTGCAATTCCATTATTTTAAGTACATTTAAGATACAAATGTCTTCAATGAGTAAACGTAACTTTTTCTTTAAAATGCCAAAACTGGATGTAGGATTTACCAGCAAATCTGTTTGATGAAGTGTTTTAAAAAATATATTCTTTTCAACATTGTACATGGTATAAGTCTTTTATTTTAATTTAATGTATAGCCTTCATAACATTTTTTTTTAATAGATCTTCACATGTATAATCTGAATAACAACTAAGAACTACTCTATAATCTGACTAGAATAAGGGTTTTAAGTCTTCAGCAGGCTCAAAATTACACATATTTAATATCTTGAATACATTTGTACTTAACTATAAATAGGTATGATAAAACTTTTGTATTCATTGCAGATTAATACTCAACGGGAAGTAAATGTATAAATCATAGATATCTATGAAATATCATTTCCATGTTAAATTATTTACTTCAAAAACTGTGATCAAAAATAATTCATACATAAATTCGAGATTAATATTTGTTACTGTGACAACTACAATCTTTGTTCACAGAAATGACACAATCTTGGACGAGGGACTATACAATCACTACACACAGTTATTTTTACAGATCACTCGACACCAAGTGTAACTTTTACAACTTCTGAACCACAAACAGCTAATTATGGCACATAATCAATTCATCAGAAGATTCTAAGATGAGACACTATTATAGATTCTGTAGCTTCTCTGCTCATTTGACTCTCATCTTTGCTTGGGTTTTTTTTTAATCTGAGGAAAAGTCACATCAGGAAATTTTTACTGCAACAAAATGTCTTAATTTATAAACAAAGGATGAAGCCATGAAACTATTCGCTGTTGAGACAATTCCACTTTGTTGTAGAAAGATGCATACAATCTGCCAACTTCATTGGAATGTTTTATGGAACTTGCACAAATTCGGAATGATCACGGGAAAATGACGTCACTGCCATTTCCCAAGAAAACTGAAGTTCATGGACACATTCTCAAAAGAATACTTATTTCTGGACTAGATATATTCATCACATTCTTGAAATATATCAAGCAAGCTTTCAAAAGTTCATTCACTAAAGTGAGACATTTTGTTTTTTCTGCCAAACACTGATAGCATGATTATCATTACAGAAAACTGAACGTAGCCCAGGTTTAGAAACTGCTAGAATTGCAAGTCTCAGTCTCTAGCATTTTCTTTTATAATAAAGCCATTTGGTCATTATGACCATACTTTAAATTTCATAGAAGTATATATATGCACTGCACTTTCTTTTGTATAACTTTTACAGTCATTAAAATTTGAAGTTGGCAGTTTTCAAAAATTTGGAAAGTTTTTCTCTAATATGTAAAACACACTTCTATTTTATATTTGCACAAGTATACCAAAGTTTAGCTTAAGACATCGGACAGCTGTAAATGTTAACATACTTAGTCCTACATCAAAGATGGAGCCTTGTGTCAAATTACTCTAGGTTATTTTGTTATAGCACTGCTTCAGTGAAATGGACATCAATTCTGAATCCATATAGTTGCAAATATCTAGTTCAATTAGATTCAGTGACACACTACAATATCAGATTTTCTCCACTCAGATACTAGTATCCCTTGAAGCAGGATAACTGAGGTAATGATATTGACAGAGGAAACCTTCACAATCTGTGTAAGACCAGAACATCCTACACTCTCTAAGTCTGTGTCAGTGGAAGACGAGTTTTGCCATAGTCCATGAGATTGCTAAAGCCATGAGCACTGTACAGTTGACTCCGAGGACATGTGATGCTAAACTAATGCCTGATTGGTGGATGCTGGCCATCTGACTGTTTGCAGGACCTGAAAATGTACACGTATAAATTCTCATTGATGAATTTTGATGATTTTCTTTTGCTGAAAGTTATGCAGCATTCAAGAAGCCGGAGAAAAATGATCTAAAATATGTACAAACTAGATAGAAAAAGCAGCAGTGTAAGATTTTAAGTCTCGATCTGCATGAAGCCTGTTTTACAAAACACTTTTTTACTTTATTCACTCCTTGTCAAAATAACTATCTATCAGAATTTTGAAGTGGATCAGAGACTTGATTTCATCAGATTGTTTGTATAAATATGAGGCCTGTGTATTGATTTAAAGTTTCATTTCAGAATAATGTGACAAATTTTACTACCAAACAATGATAACTCAAACTATAAAGTTAAAATCCATTCCAGAACATCAGAACAAGAAACGATCACTCAGAGAGGAAACTTCAATCAATACCAACATTATCGGCAAGAAAACAATTAAAGCATCACTGCACGGTGATCGCATTTTAATCACAACTCATGCAGCCATTAATCTTGTAAAAAAGACTTAATGAACACAATTTCTAAGCCATGATTATAGCACGACTCCATTAAAGGAGATAAGTATTTTTGGCAATAAAATCTCAATCAAGTCGCCTCCCTGGAGAGCTCTTACGTGCTTAACTTAACTGAGTCACCATGGTGACACGAAATGAGAAGCCATTGCTATTAGTGGACCCTAAAAGTTGAATAATCATTACTTATTCATCAATGAAGACATTTAATTCCAAGTTACTGGTAACTTCAGGCAAAAAATGTAAATGAGTCATTTACAAAGAATTGTTTCCACCTATGGAAATCTTTTCCTTAAAACACTAACATTGTACTACCAAAAGCTCAAGAAAAAATTGGAGTGTATTTTCATACCAATCTGCTTAAATCAATTTTAACTGCTTCTTTTAATATTTATAACAAAAATCTATCAGCAATACATGTACATTACCTTTAATATTAATACCTGGATAGTTACATGTACCTTATCTTTAGTTAATACCTAGCCTGCTCATTTATCCCTGCAATACCTGTGCCTTAATTATGCTTTGTTAAAACCCTGACTGCCTATTCATCCCTGCACTGAACTTAAAACAATTAAAACCTGATACCTGTACATCTTACCTTTTGTTAACACCTGAACTCCCCGCTTATCCCCCCTCCCTGAGCTGGTTCTGGCCCAGACAAAGAAGCGGTACTGGTGGTTGGGCTGTAGACCTGTTATCCTCGCTGAGGTGTGGGAGGGGTTATTAATCCTTGGCTCCAGGGCCCTGATGTCTCCCTCCACATCACCATTCACTGAAACAAGTAACCCATGGTTCACACAAACTATTCAAACCAAATTTCTTGAGATATCTCTTTAAAAAAATTCCCCCTTTTGTGAACTGATGGTTGTTCTTTCTCAAAATGAAGGAAAATAAATTGGCAATTGTATTACAAAAATATCCAATAATTTAAAAGATCGGACTTTTTTCTGATTTCAAAAAAATATCTAATAACAAGGTAAAATTGATAAATTTCTTCTGCATCTCATGTAAATAGATACATAAACAATTGCAATTAGAAGAATCCCAAGATATGCACATTCTATTGTAAATACTTCCATTTATTTCAAAGCTTTGAATGAATCCCCATATAGCCAAAGGGCATTCATTCTGATATAATTATGTAACAGGAAAGGAGAAAATGTATGGCTGGACCTGGAATCGAACCTTGGACCCCTGTATCACTAGTCAGGTGCTCTACAGACTGCGATATCCAGGCCGACATCCACAGCCCAAACCAATATATTTCTCCCTCCTTAAATTGTCTTTGCCCTCCAAGACACAATCCAAATTCTTTTTTGCCCCGGAAGGACTTTCTTCTTCAAGTCAAGGGTGGTCAATGGCACAGTAGAAAACGTATGATTGGATTGGGAATTAAACCCAGGACCCCTGCATTACTAGTCAGGTGCTCTACCAACTGAGCTTTTCAGGCCGATATCAACAACCCAAACCACAGCCCAAACCATTACAATGCAAAGGAAATTTTCAATCACAGAAAAGCGGTTTTTTAATCTTTGGTTTCAAGATCAGCCTTACATTTCTGATAGCCAAGATCGTATCCTAGGAGCAGTCCATTAGGCTCATCTGGGGGATCCCACTTCAGGACCACATGATCACTTTCCACATCATCCTTCTGCAAGTTCCGAACAGGACCAGGAACTGAAAAATAAATCCAAAGGTCAACACAAAAAGATAAAATAAACAGTTGTACAATTACAGAATGATAAAAAACTTTGAAAATTTCTTAATATTGCTTTGCAGAATTTTCTTTTTCTTTCTTTTTTTTTGGTATTTTCAGCAATTCTTCTAAAATATAGTAGGAAAACAGGTTTCTTATGTAAAAATTTACCAATTATTCCTTGAAGGTATTTGAAAGTATACAAAGAATAATACGGTAGAGTCCTAGGACCTCCAACTGGACATTGCATGATTAAAATCAACCAAAACATTTGTTGGTTGATCAAAAAAGTTTGTTTATTAATTCTCAGGGAACATACAGAAATTCCAGATAAAATCATTAAAAGAGCAAATTGAAAAAAACAGTATCACAAACACTCTGAAGAGTTACACCTCACAAACCAACATTATAATTTAAAACAGACAACTACATGTAGCTGACCTCCTTCTGATGTTTTGAAGTCAATGGTGTCACTAGGTGGTCCTGTGTGGTGTCCATTCATCACAGATACCTGCGCTCGGAATGCCGTGTTGGCCGGTAAAGAAGAGATGGAGGCCCTCATGTCATGTGACAAGTGTGCCGTATCTGGGTCAATGGTAATTGGCACCTCAACCTTGTTCCTGCGGCCTTCACTGGATTTCCAGTATTGTAACTAAACCACAAAGAAAATGAGATATATTAGAACTGAGAATTACATGTGTATACAAAATTTGATTTAACATTAATTATGTTAATCAAAATCATTTTATTTAACAAGAACTGAGAAAAGGTATAATCATGGTAGTACATACTATTATATGCATAGAATTCATACTACATTTAAATCATTCTTTCTAACAAATGACCTTACCTTATAACCTCTGAACTTTCCCCTGAGTCCATCATCCAATGGGTCAACAGATTCCCAGATGAAGTGAGCTTCATGGGGTTGGGGGTCCTTGGTTTGATCAACTCGAAAATCATGAGGCTTGATCAATGGATCTGGAAAAATCAATTAACGAGTTATAAAGAGAAAAATACTCCCATATGTAAAGATTCAGGATGACACTTAATTCTTATATTATTATTTGACACTTCTTATATTATCATTTAACATGCATCAAGTATCAAAATGAGTGTATTCATACAGGCTTCTGAAAAATGAGATAATCTCAAAGTTTCCTACATATCTTGCTTAATCTGTCATGCTAATTTATAGGTTAAATAACATATTTATACACCTGCCACTAATTTGAACTTTTGAAGCATACCGTATATACTCACCTATAAGTCAGTTTTTTTGGAGTTAAATTTTGGTCCAAAACTCTATGTCAGACTTGTAGGTGAGTCATAAAAAATTGGCATTATTTTGAATGGCAACGTAGTATTTTATAAACGCGTCCAATGATTATCGTTGAATAAAGTTTGGATATATTATTCATTTTTGTATTCTAAGATTATGCATGAAGTACAAGGATTTACATATTTCAATAATTTTATTTTTATCTTAAGTGTGCATTACTTATTTTTTTTAATGATTTAAAATTAAATATTGGCGTCATTTCTAAACAAAATTACTTAAACCAGGTTAAAACATCATTAAAATATTGATTTGAAATTGTCAGCCGGTTCTTGCAAAAAGTTGTACAGACTTGTATGCGGGTCAAGGGCAAATCCCTCCTATATAACCTAAAAAATTACAACTGACTTATAGGCAGACCGAATAATAGGTATGAGATTAGCAGTTGTATAGTGACTGAGAGGAGATAACAAAAGCTAATACTTACCCCCCTCCCCGGAGTGTCCACGTACAGTAAACACTGGCATGAATGACACACCATGACTGTTGAAAGCTTGTACCTGAACGTCATACAGACCATAAACATCATCCACATCTACCTCAAACTGGTTTTCGTTTGCATTCTTGATATCTTTCTTGTTCCAAAACGTACTGCCACGTTTTCTCCAGCTTACCCTGTACCCAAAGCTTGGAGCATTGTGCTGCATTCGAGGCATTGGCTGAAGGGAAAATGATAATAACCTCTCATAATTCTAGATAACATAAATTCAAAGAAACTACAGTCACTATAGACAAACAAGCAACCAACTGTTCTATCAACCACATTATTTTTGTTCTGACTTAATCTACCTCAACAAGAGCCAGATAAAAATTACCAGTGTTTGAAACTCACCATAAAATTAGCCAGACATGCAGGGCTGACTGGTAGTTAAAGTTGTCAGCCCTACCAAAGATCTACTAGCCCGAGAAAATTATTATGGTTTATCAATTTGTTCTAGCCATTACTGGTATGTGACTGGGACTAGGTCGAGACAATTTCGATCCTGAATCTATAGACTGATGATTTCTTCCTCTCGGCTAATGTTACATTTTGCTACCGATACTATCAACTGATTTGAGAGAGATTTATTACTTTTATGAATTTTACTTTTCAAAAATTTTAAACACATCCAGCCGGGCTTCAATACAGGCAAATTTGTTCGCCCGCTGCAAAATTTGTGTGTCCTAGGCTGTTGGGTGCACAGTTACTTAAAACACTGAACATGATGAAATTACATAAAATTAAAATTATAAAATATAAATTATAAATTTATAAAATTATAAAAAATTATGTAAAAATACATATTAAATTTTAATTATTGCTATTACAGGTGTGATTCCCCACCCCAAACTTGTTTCATATCCAAGGACTTGAAATTTTTATTTGATTCATATAATTCAATTTATTCTCTGTGCTTGTTAATTGGTTTCATTGTTATTTTTAATCTATAAGTAAAAAATTTGCTTAGTAGATAAGTAATTATATACCAATATAATTTTGATGTTAACTTATGTTTGCATGTAACAATGAGATATATAACATCTACACATGGCAAATGGTGCCAGACTGTTTGGCGAGAACTTTGTAAATTATAGCTAAAGAGCCTAGTTGATCATAATAAAATTTTTAACCATATGAACATTTTATGATCCATCTACATGTAGTTTAATAAGGACGTTTTTCTTTTTGAGGAAAAAAATGTAACAAATCTTTAAAATTCTTTTTAATTATGCTTTGAGTAAAAATGGTGTTCATGATTAAAATGTGTTTAGAGATTGAAAGATAGCTTTTCTTAAAGTATTTTCAAAAGAATTTGATTAAAACAAAGTCTGCATAAAGAAGTCAGGATAATCTCATATTACATAAATTATTCCCAAAAGTAGACTGTTCTCATCTTTAGCTTTGGTTTGGAAAATATCACTGCTTGTATTGGGAAGTGATTACGATAATTAGTGATAAGTTCCGTCCATAGCAGGATTTCATCTTGTTTGAAACTGATCCTCGTAAATCTCACTCCATCGGCCAAAGAAATTCAATTATCTGCTCCCGAGGCCATGAGAGCTCCATCGTTGTTGACGGATCAATAAGATTCTGGCTGATAGCTGTTTTATACCGAAAATGATAGGAAAATCTAGGTTTTTGTTTCCGCAATATTATACAACTCCTATATCATACTCACAAGGAATGCTTAAAGGGCTCTATTAATTGAGACTAGGCGTCTATTAAATTCCTTGACATTCCTGTTCAATAACAATTTATGGTGATTTGTGGAAAAGATCCAAAATCTGTCCATCAGAATGTTATATTGCTCATGATGATTTGTTCAATATGTCTACAGCTAACATTACAGCTACAAGTACATACACTCTTTTTAAAAAAATTCTCATTTGTTGTATATATATATTGTATAATTTATCATCTCTTCTCCCCACAAACATACCATACGTAAAGTTCTTATAAATAAAGTACATGTACTACAGAAACTTATAAATTCTTAAACTATCTCTTTCATCTTTGAAGTAATTTAAAGATATAAATACACCTACTTAAATTCTTTTACTATGCTACTTTTTAACCTCTATTACTAAATTCATTTTCTAATTTCACATATTTTATAAAAATATTAATTATAAATAGGCATACATCATATTATGATCTTTTCTTCCTGATTTCTCTATATACCTACACAACTCAAATTTTAAACCCTAACCTTTCCTTTCTCCTTTTTTTTGCAAATGTGCTTTGTCACTTTTAATTGCACAGACAACCAACTCTCCTCTGACCTTTAATTTACACTAATCTCACAAAAAAAACTCTAATTCAGAGACTTTTCTTTAGACTTACGTCCCAAGTAATGATTAGTTTTCCCTCCTTGTCTGTCTTCATTTTAACATTAACCGGATTTGACGTCGGTCTCTCGGGCGGTGTGTTACATTCCTTTTTTGTGGGTTTACTTGGTTCGCTGTATCCCAGACTGTTCTTTGCCATGACCCTGAAAGAGTACCACCCCCAGGGAGACAGGCTGACGAAGGCGGTCTTTGATACCTTGTCCATGTATTCGATTTCCTCATCCGCGGAGTTCCAGTAGTAGGGATTATCTGATGTATTGTATTGTATGAGATACTCATCAATTGGCTCGCCTCCGTCCAAACCGTCACGCCAAATTAACTCCACTCTCTTTGGTCCGCACGAACTGATTTCTACATCTTGAGGAGGTTCCGGTGTTCCTAAAAAAGAAAATATTTACTTGAATTTTCATTTCTGTCAATTGCCCCTTTTGATGCATTTTAAAATCTAATCTAATCTTTCATGAAATACACGAACAAAACATACTTTATTTCCTACAATCACTATAATGTGTAGTCTTTATTTCAAGTGACTACAGTACTATGGAAAATTAATCAAGGTTCTTATAGGAAAGATAAATTTAAGACAATGCGCCACCCTTTTAAATTGTAACACACACCCTTTTCAACTGTAACACACACCCAGACAAAAGCAATCCTTATTCAGATGTAATTCCTGTCATCAACATAAAAACATTATTTTCTGGTCCTTCAAAAAAAGTTAATAGCAATTACATTTGAAGGATATTGAAAAAAACTGAATTGTGAAGTCTTATTTAAAATGGCAAAAAATTTCAATATTTTGAAAATGATACTGAATAATAAGAATGCCACCGACTAGTTGCTTGATCTGCTTTTCATGTGCTTGCAAAATAACAGGGAAACGACACAGACAATGTATATGTCTATATTAACATGATCAATTCCTTTCCTTACATTTTTCCAATTTCACCAAAATTGCCATTCTGGCCTGTGTTATGTCAGTAAGAAGATTTTTTCCCACCATTTAATTATTCCTATTCAACACAACAAATCTAGAGTTATGTATTTTTGGGCAGACACTTCTCGTAAATCAACATTATTTTCAGAGGGAAATCAAATTGCATCATTACGATTCACTCTCAGTTTTCTTTTTTGGCTCCCAAAACGAAGTCATTTTATTGAAAACCGTTCATTTCCTGTCACAGTTATGTAGATGTGAGGGTGAGTTCACACCGAGATAAAATAATCTCACAATATTAACCATAAAAAATTGGCAAAACTGCCTGATTCTGACACTAGAACTGGTTTAAAATAGAAGAAACCATTCCAGCTTACACTGGCATATTGTCAGATGAGAAAATACAATCTTCATCATAGATTTATATATATTGCTTATTTCACAGCTATGAAGTTTTCATGGCATATTAAAAGCAAAAGGCCCAAGTGCCTTAATGGTCACCTGAGTATAATCCAACCCTCTTAATTATCCACGGAATGGTAAATAACAATACGATAGCACAAATTAAACTAAAACTCAAAAACAACAGAAATAGGATGACAAGGGATCAACAAAATAATTACTATGGTAATCAGCAAGTACTCAGAAACTTGCCTTCACATGCCATTGCAATCTACACTCTATTGCTATCACCAAACATAACAAGACAATAGTTTACCTTAAAACACAGTGCTCACAGAATATACTCAGTATATTGGCCTCTCACAGTCTTTGATAATATTTAATGTACATATGCAAGGTATTTTTATCTCATGTCTACTTACCTTATTCAAAACTAGGCAAGTATTATTTCTTGTATTAAATTTAAGGGGCCATGAATTTCATAATTTTGGTATAGGCACCCTTGTTCATCATAACCCTGCACTTAGTTCATCTGCTCCATAATTTTTCAAGAAGAGACCTGCCCTAAAATCTAAAGAGTCATGAATTTCATAATTTTGGAAAAGGCAACCTTGTTCATCATAACCATGCACTTAGTTTCTCTGCTTAATATCCAGTAGCAGAGAAAACATTTTCAAAGAATACAAGCATTTTCACTATATGATCAAGAGAGTCTCCTTTTAACTCCAAAACCACTGTACCAGGGACCATGAATGTCATAGTTTTGGAAGAGGCACCCTTGCTCATCATAACCATGCACTTATTTTGTCTGCTTAATATTAAGGAGCAGAGAAGATTTGCTAAAGAAGAGGACCAATGGCCTGAACATTCACCTGAGTATAATGTAGCAATCCATAGATTAAAACAAAATCAGCTGATAAACGAAGCTATGTTGCCCAAAAGCAAGAGAAATAGGATGATCAGGGATCAGCAAAATATTAATTTAGTACTCAATAACAAATCTTAAAGTTGATCTATTTATTTGCCTGTACTTCCCCCATTTGTCACTATCCTCATGTGGACTAAACAAACAATAGTTCTAGAGCACTATTAGTTAATACATTTCATTCCCCCTTGCTTTGGCCTCTCTTAGTCTTTGAAGATTATTTATTGTACAAAGATACCGTATTTTTGTCCCATTATCATTTATCTAAAAGTTTAATTGACCATTAAAAACTATGAATTTCAGAGTACTTTTGTATTAAATATTATAAAACTTCTTGTATAATTCTGTTATTTAATTGACCTTTTAAGTTACATTATAACTATTATAGGTGAATTAGCAAAGGGGAATTACTTCTTTCAGTTGAAATTAATAAATTGACCAAAGGGTACAGAATTTCAGAATCTGGTAAAAACACCCTTACTTATTACAACTTTTTATACTCTATTTGCCTCCTAGATGCCCAGGAGCAGAGATGAAGATTTTCAAGGAAATAATCCATTTTCACCATAGATTCAATATAGACCCCCCCCCCCCCCCCCGGCAATACCAAAGCCCCTGACCCAGGGGCCAAGATCATCAAAATTTTGGTAGAGGCACTCTTGCTCATCATAACCATGCACTTAGTATGTTTCCTTAATTTCAATGGGCAGAAAAGAAGATTTTCAAAGAAATAATGCTTTTCTACTATATATTTAAAAGAGCCTCACCCTAACACCAAATCCCTGACCCCGGGGGTTATGAATTTCAAATTTTTTGAAAAAGATTTCCTTGCTTGTCATAACCATGCAAACAGTTTTCTGTTAAATACCCAGGGGCAGAGAAGAAGATTTAAAAAAAAAAAAATGCATTTCTACTATATATTAAATAGAACCCCCCCCCCCTCCAGATATGAACCACTGACCCTGGGGCCACAAATTTCACAATTTTGGAAGAGGCATCCTTGATGTTCATAACCATGCACTTAGTTTATCTGCTAAATACCAAGGAGCAGAGAAGATTTTTAAAGAATTTATGCACTTTCACTATATGGTCAATAGAGACCCGCCCTTACATCAGAACCCCTGACCCAGGGGGCAAGATATTCATAATTTTGGAAGAGGCACCCTTGCTCATCATAACTATATTTTTTGTTTATCTGCTAAATACTTAGGAGCAGAGAAGAAGAATTTCAAAGAAATAATGCAGTTTTACTATATAATCAATAGAGCCCCCCCCCCCCCCCCACTGCAGAATCCCTCACCTTGGACCACAAATGTCACAATTTTGTAAGAGACACCCTTGATCATCATAACCATGCACCTAGTTTATCTGCTTTATATAAGGGGAAGAGAAGATTTTTAAACAATTTATGCATTTTCAATATATGATTAATAAAGCCCTGCCCTATCACCAGAACCCCTAACCAAGGGGCCAAGATATTCATAATTTTGGAATAAGAGCTGTTGCAACCACTATTGAAATAACGCCCACTATTGAAATAATTATTTCAATAGTGGTTGAGAGTGCATTTCAAAACCAAACAAGGTTGTAACCACTATTGAAATAACGCCCACTTTTGAAATAATTATTTCAATAGTGGTTGAGAGTGCATTTCAAAACCAAACACAGGTTGTAACCACTATTGAAATAATGTCCACTACTGAAATAATTATGCAAGCCCATGAATATACGCGAGAATTTACTTCTATTCTATATCCTTTTGATTAAGATATAAATCAATTTATTATGTTGCAACAAACACCTCTATTGGAAAAAAATATAAGGATAAATTCTTCATTATGTTTTCCAACATAATAAATTGATTTATTGAGTTTAAAAAATATATGTAATTTTATGTTTTAATTTCTGTTTAAAAATACTATTAATACACGGGCATCTGAGGTTTAACTGATCTTTTAATTTTAAGTAATTTTGTTATAAAAGGTTCATCTTTGTTATTAATCAGGGAAAGTTAAAGGTTATAGATACAGATAGTTTTGAAAATTAGAATATCTACATTAAAAAGAAAGAAGACATCTATGTGATATCTCATATGTGTACAAACTTTTTGATAAAAATATGGTTATTCTTAATCAAAAGGATATAGAATAGAAGTAAATTCTCGCGTATATTCATGGGCTTGCATAATTATTTCAATAGTGGACGTTATTTCAATAGTGGTTACAACCTGTGTCTGGTTTTGAAATGCACTCTCAACCACTATTGAAATAATTATTTCAATAGTGGGCGTTATTTCAATAGTGGTTGCAACAGCCCTTGCTCATCATAACTATACATTTGGTTTATCTGCTAAATATCTATGAGTAGAGAAGATTTTTAAAGAAATAATGCACTTTTACTATATAATCAATAGACCCCTCATCCCACAGAACCCTCATCCTGGGGCCACAAATTTCACAATTTTGTAAGAGGCACCCTTGATTATCATAATTATGCATCTAGTTTATTTTCTTTATATACAGAGGGAGAGAGGAAGATTTTTTAAGGATTTATGCATTTTCACTATATGATCAAGGGGCCAAGGTATTCATACTTTTGGAAGAAGCACCCTTGCTCATTATGACTGTTTACTTGGTTTATCTGCTAAATACCTAGGAGCAAAGAAGATTTTCAAAGAAATTATGCACTTTCACTACATAATCAATAAGCCCCTAATAAAGCTCCCTTCCACAGAACTCCTCACTCTGGGCCACAAATTTCACAATTTTGTAAGAGGCACCCTTGATAATCATAACCATGCACCTAGTTTATCTGCTTTATATACTTGGGGAGAGAGGAATTTTTTTTTATGAATTTATGCATTTTCACTATAAGATCAATAGAGCCCCACCCTTACTCCAGAACATCTGACCCTGCGGCCGTGACTTTCACAAGTTTGGTAGAGGGCTCAATGCTTATTACAATCTGTCAACAGTTGGACTGCTTGATCTCATTTCGATGGTTTTGGTCCCACCTCTAAGGCCTTGGGGGGGGGGGGGGGGGGGGGTCAGGGACCATGAAATTCAGTTTTTGTTCCCCTTCATTCATAGATCTTCTATGCCAAAATTGGTTGAAATTAGTTCAGTGGTTGCAGAGAAGAAGCTAAAAATGTTCAAATGTTAACACATGACACAGAACCCATGACGAGGGATGAAAACCACTAGCAATAGATCATCTGAGTTACTCATGTGACCTAAAAATAACATTTTCATTATATGATCATAATAGAACCCTCCCTAACTTACAAATTTCTGATCCAGGGGCATGAATTTCACAATTTTGGTAGAGGCACACTTGCTCATCATAACAATGCACTTAGTTTCTCTGCTTAATACTAAGAAGCAGAGAATAACACTTTCAAAGAACTGATACCTTTTCCAATATGATCTAGAGAGCCCTGTCCTAACTCCAAAACCCTGCCCAGGGTCCACGAATTTCACAATTTTGAAAGAGACACCCCTTGCTCATTAAACTTGCACTTAGTTTGTCTGCTGAAGACCCAAGAGTAGAAATCATTTGTTTTAAAAAAAATATACATTTCTATAATATGGTCATAATTGAGCCCCTCCCTAACTCCAGAACCTCTGACCCCTTGACCATGAATTTCACAATTTAGGTAGAAGCACCCTTGCTTATCATAACCATGTACTTAGTTTCTCTGCTAAATACCACAGAGAAGAGAAGAAGGTTTTCAAAAATTTAATTTTATGATATGAATTTCACAATTTGAAAGAAGCAGCCTTGCTCATGATAAACATGCGCTTCGTTTGTCTGCTAATAACCAGTGACTGAGAAGACAGATCTTCAAAAAATTAATGCATTTGACTATATGATCAATAGAGCCCAATCTTAACACCAGAATTCCTGACCCTGGGGTGATGAACTTCACAATTTTAAAGAGATACCCTTGTTCATCATATCTTTGCACTTAGTTTATCTGCTAAATATACAGGGGTAGAGAAGAAGACTTTTAAGAAACTATGCATTTTCAGTAATGATCTGAAGAGCCCCATCTAACACCAAATCCCTGACTGACCATATGGCCATGAATTTCACAATTTTGATGATTATTACAACCATACCAACAGTTTGTTTGATGCCCAGGAGTAAAGAGGAAGATTTTTAAAGACTGCATAAATTTGGATGATTTTAGCCCCGCCCCTCAGGCCTCAGGGTAGGGGGACCATAAAATTCACAATTTTTGTTTCCCTTCACTTATAGATGCTATACGCAAAAATTGCCTGAAGTTGCTTCAGCAGTTCCAGAAAAGAAACTAAATATGGTCAAATGTTAACACAAGACAATCAAAAAAACAGATAGAAATATGTCACCCAAGTGACTCAAATGACCTAAAAACATTTTGCAATTTTTTTTCAGCAAGTGCAAAGTATTAATCATACTAGTCTTGTATTTTTATAAATTTCTAAAATTCATTTATCTCAGTTCAAAACTTGATGAATCATAGTTTAGCAGTCTAAACACTTAAAAGATCAATAAAGCACTTTAATATGTGTATGTGGTATTCTTTTCTACCTCAATTTAATTTCTGCAGTTAACTTCTTATAACAAAATTCTATCAGTGTCCTTCTTTGGACTAGTTTACCAAAAATATTCAAAGAGGAAGTGTATTTCTATTCTTCAATTTCATTAGACATTTACCTTTGACAATGAGTTTTGCTGAGGATTTCTCTTTTTCTGTGATCTGTCCTCTCACGCTGGCGATACATGTGTACTGTCCTGCATCACCATAATCAGCCTCCCTCAGGACCAATGTCTGCCCACCGTCCATCACCTTAAATCTATCTGACCTAGTGTCCAGGATCTCACCATTATGTTTCCACCGGATACGGAGATTTTCTTGTTCCATGTCATCGTTGAGCCCGATGGAGCATGTAAATGAGACTTTGTGCCCCTTTCTGACAGTTTGGTCGGCAAGGGATTCTAGGAATTTGATTTGGTCACCTGTCAAAGAATTACAGAAAATAAACCAAGATGAGTGAGGAGTTACCTCCCTTCAGCTAGGAAAAATTTATAACTGAGCTGAGTTCAAGTCATGATTTAAATCCCACTATAATGAGTAAAATTAAATATGCATACATCAATATTTTTTTCATTTAATATCTGAAATTATCAATATATTTTTTCCTTCAATGACTCAATTTAATATGGAAAAAAAACATGAGATAACATGCATTTCAAAACCATTAATAATCTGTAGTTTTAAACCACAGCAAATTTAAGAAATACCACAGAAAATTATACGAGAAACAGTAACAAGCCGATGTGGACTTGAAATGGATTTTTAATTGCCCCTGAAACATCAGATATCGGAATACTGTCACTGACTACTTCCTGTGCTCTGCTGTCGTATTTTTATTTTCTTTTTTCTTCAGGCCTATAGCCATGATGAGATTTTATTGAATTCCAAATGGTTGTAAGATTTTATCAGTCCCCCTTTTAGCATGAATACTAGCTGAACAATGGAGGCAAATGTCCATAAATTACTGTGATGACACTTAATGGGGGAAGGCAATTTGTAATAATGGATAATTGTGCTGCTAGTCCCTCTGCAGTCCTTCTACTCATCTACATTTCGATGTGCAAAAAAAAAAGGATTTATAAGAATGGAATTTAAGGCCTGGTTTAGCTGTTTAACAGCAATAATTTAAAAACAATAAAACAAATTACTAAAATATTCAAGATGTCAGCAGCCAAATAAAAGTACATTAGAAAAAATCCAGTGAGAATATTTTCAAGGTCTAACTTATAATATGTACATGTACTACAACCACCCTCCCCCTTCTTAAAAAGAAGATATCATATAAAAGAATTTATTATGAAAGAATATGAACCACTTGTAAAAAATTCAATATAATTGGCCTGCTAAATTTGGACTTATCATTTCATCAGACAGCCTTCAAAGAGTAAATGATTCTTCAATATCAGTATGATTACATAATTTTTGTAATACACAGTTTTTTTTTTCTTTACGTCCATAAAGCTCTAACAGCCATCTTGATTTACCAAGGGGTTACCTCTCCCATTCAACTGAGGCACATGCTGTACTGACACTGTAGTTTAAAGGAGATTAATTTCTTATTGTACCCATGTAATAATCTCATAAATTTTGTGTGAAACTCATGATCGAGGCATCAAATTATCAAGCCTCTATCTCAATGAATGTGCTATCAAGTTCTGCTGACAATAGTCCTGTTTTCTATGAGGGACGCCCCCTGTATAAGGACTAATACTGGCAGGTGGCAAGTTATATTACACGATACCATCTGTTTTCTCCAAATTTAATATTAAAACACTACCGTATTTGCCCCAGTACATGTAAGCACACTGGTCACAATCAACTATGTGTCTTCAAGAATTTGATAAATTTGAAAACGCATTAGAGAGGGATTTAATTCACATTTACAAACATAACTTTTTTGTTCCTTTATCATTCTCAAATATGACCATGAGGTCGCACTAATTACAAGGACAAATATGGTAAATGCATCTCGTTTTCTGACTGAAGAGTGTTCCATGATATTCATAGACTGACACTTTAATTGAACATTCTCTGGTGCAAACTTATTGTGTTCACCAACAATTGAGAAAATTAATGTTTAAAATAGACTTTTTTAAAAATCTTAATTTCTTAAGATGGGGCCTTTCAGTGCAATATACTGGGGTATATCAAATTTCTTCAATTTTATGACAGTTCGGGCAAGAATTGGGTGTATACCTATTATATACAACAAAAAACATCTAACTTTACTAGACTTTGAATTAAAAAAAAATTATGTTTGAATTCAATTAATACCTAAATTCTCATATAAAAACATTCACACAATTCAGAAACCCCATCCAACACATGATAAGATACTTTTAAAATTTATTATTGATCTCAAAATATAGACACAGAAAAAAATTCAGTTATTCTGTTTGGAATTTCCTTAAACATTGTGGCAAAGGAATTTCCTGCTGCTGGTGACTGTTTGAGAAAATTGCGGTGAGATGCCGATGCATTGGTGTCTATGATTGTGATCTATTTCTGTGATGTGATGGAAAAATCTTCTAAAATGATAACATGTCATGCCAGAGACACGTATCTCAATGGCTATGCTATCAGGGTCGAGCCTTCGCGGAGATGAATACTCACAAAGCCTGACAGACCATACTTTATCTACCTATGACATGAAACTGTAAAGACACATTCAATGGTCTCTCAATACGAATCCAACTTTTTATCCTTTTACTTCCACTTTTAGATACGCAATTAAAGGAAATCTATGGCTCTAGACTCTAATCAGGCCTAGGTAGTTACGGAATCTTCAAAGAACGAACTCTGTTCACTTTTTAGATAATTCAATTACTATATTGACAATAGAACTTGTATGCCTTAATAACATACCATTGTACATCAATTAAACACTGGGCAAATTAAAAAAATATATCACTAAAAACTACCAGAGTCCCATGGGCCACAACACTCACCAGAGTCACACTTGCTCTGCTGTTTTTCATTACAATATTTTAAAAAAATCCATCTTTATTCAGATGAGAAAATTCTTTCCCCATATTGTGACCCCACCCTAACCTGAAAGGCAGGGTTCAACACTAACTCAGCTATTACCAACTAAAAATTGAGACTGGACTATACTAAACAAGTCATCAAGCTTGCCTGGTGCAGGGCTACTAAAATTTTTCTATACTATACAATCACAAAAAAAATTATAAAGATTAAAGACATATATATCAATTTCTGAATTTGTAAGTGATGTTTAAGCACTGCATGTTTGAAATCTCTGTCAGATAAGTTAGACTGTCTGACCTAGAAATGGGCTTACATTAATTTGGTCTAAACTGTCAATAAGGCTCACCTCATTTCTTCATCAAAAACGTATGTGAATCTATGACGTAAAAACAAAGAAAACAAGCAATACACAAAGAAAGTCTACTAGACTCAATATAGTTATCCAACAAGAATCCATAAATTGATACGTTTATACTTTGAATGTCAATAATTATTGTTTCTTTATCTGTAGTGTTAACAAGAGTATAAGTACTGGCTTGAACTAACAGATGTGACATCCTTTGATTGTGACATTAAAAATTCACCACCTGTTACTAACAGAAAGGTTGCAGCTAGTACACCCCCACCCCACCCCTGCCCCACTCACACACATACTTGTGCACACACACAATGAAAACAACTGACTTGAACATGCTTCAAAGAAATAAAGTCTGAACAGTTTACATATGCACTTGCATGATACTTGATGTTGAAAAAAGAGACAGATGGGTCGAGATGACACTTTAATTCATAGGATCTGATGAATTTAGATATAATCTCTGGTCAACTATACCAATGGCTTTATGTACCAGAGCTAATGACCAAAGACTAGATTTATTACTCTTCCAGGCACCTTAAGAAAAGCTTATGCTCTAAGTTGTGAGAGGAAGATTAACAGACAGACTTGGCCAGGGACAAACATTGCCTTATTTGCTGAACCTAGTGTCCATTAATTGAGTTGGCATTGCAATGGTCTATAACACGGAAAACAAACTCTATAAGCATTACAATAAAACTTAAAGGATGAAAATCTTTAACTGCATGCTGCCAACAGGGTTTTTGTTTCATAGTATTTATATCATAATGAATGCTTTGTCTTTATTAAAAGAATTTATGTTCACCAATAAAAAAATTTCACAAATGAATGAAAATACAGGTTCAAATCATTCTTGGGAGAGAATTCCATGCAAATTGATTAATTAATCTCATGCAATCACAAAATGATAAACTTTTCTTCACCTTTCATTGCTTTTAAAGAACTATATATGGTAAGGGCGTATTCCTGCCCCCATAATAGTCAAATTTTGAAAATCCCTTGAAATGAGAAAAAGTGCATATATTGTGTAAAATAATCCAAATTGAGACAATATATTATGAAATTGGAAAAATTAGTTGGCTTTTCTTGTCTCTGTGACATCACAAACTATTTGGATTTCCGTTATTTTTAAAATAGAGGCCAAAATGCACAGAGTTTGTTCAATTTTGACTATAGTATTTATAGAGCGCAAGCTTGCTCAGGTACCATATTCACATATTTCATTAATATTATCATTCTACACATTATATCAAAAGATCTAGTCTGAGCAGACCTGCGCTCGATAATTTCCAATCAAAATACTGACGTAAAATACACTATTTTCTCTCAAAATCATTGAAATTTGGAATTTACGTCACTTTATTGACGTCATATCTAACTAATGATGTCATAGTTGATAAAAATATTTAATGCTTTCAAGTCTGCAAATATCCACCTGGTTAAGAACATAATTAAAGAGTTCTCCATCAAAGTTTTATTTTGGGGGCAGATAATGGCCACTACAGAACATAGTCCTTTATTTTGGTTTTAAAAAAATATCTGAAAAAATTTGCTGAATGAAAAGTTCAGTTTCTATTAACTCAATCCAATTATATGCATCGATCTTTCAGCAATTGCACTAAATACAAGAAAAGTTGTACGTGTTACAAAAAATTGCATTTACTACCTTATATATATGTACTTCTGCATTTGAAGGGAAAAAAATCTTTAAAACAATCACTGACCATATTAATCTCCTATAACTGCCCCTTTGCTAGGACCTTATACTTTTAATATCCCCTCTGCAAAGATTTTCTCCGGAAAAGGTCACTCATTATTTACCCTGGTCTGTCGGAATCTTGACACACTTCAGGGCATAAAATATCCCATTATATAGTAGTTTGATTTTTTCTTTGGTCTAATCAAGCTTTATATGTCTGCACAGAGCTATACAGTTTATGACCATAGATCCATTCTGTGACTCTGTGGATCAGAAATCGAAGGAAGTAAATCTCCCCGGTCACTCACAACCAACATTATAAAGTCAAAAAGGCAAGGCTCAGGGCAAATGATACACTGCTCCCTGTAAAAATGATATTG